TTGGCATATTCCCAAAAGTCGTACTTACATTTTGAGTGTCAAAAATGGTCAAAATCTATCTGTAAGTTTTTTCATTAATGAAAAACCCCTATACAAGATTGTATGTAGCAATTCACAGCAGACTAGAGCTTTAATAAACAAGTTTCTTAATCCATCTCATATTCAGGATGTGTTGACATATTTATTTTGAGGGCTACAAGGGCCATGCAGCTTATACAAGTTCCTACATGTAACAATATAGAACGGCAGAGACACAATCTTACAGGACATATATGCTGACTTAGGGGCAAAAACTAGACCAAGCAAAAGCTGCCACACACAATTTCCAACACATGTGCAAAAGATACCTAGATTGAGCCAACAAGAAGATGTGTAAATCAAAGATCTCCTGACTAAGGCATTTACTGATGGGAATTAAAAAACAAAAAACAAAACCCCAAAAAACAAAAATATATTTGATCATTTAAGAACCTCTTTAGTGTTTCATATTTGAACATGTCAAACTCCTGGGATGTTCCAGCTTCTCAGAAATTAGTCTGCACTATTATGACGGAGTCCGGGCTTTAATTAGTCCCTTTGACTTTGCACAATGATAAAGGACAGAAAAAAGGCAAAAGCACAAGCTTTACTCTGAACAGATATCAAATCTAACTCAAGCACTGCCTGTAGTTCTACTGTGTTTAGAAACAATAGCATATATAAAGTTAACACCTTTTCTGATGGCAGTTAAAGTAACAGAAAAAAATAACTGATGGTTGTAAAGGGATCATTCACATTGTTCTTTTAAAGTGGAAACGAGGCCTGAAAGCTACATAAAAAGTCTCAGCACATCAAGAAATCCTTCAAGTCTTATAGAGGCGATCCAAGAGCCGTATTAAGTGTACAATTTAGAGATTTACCAAGATGATTAGGCATTTATTTCAAGAACATTAAAAAAACAATAATCTAACAAAAATTACTTCTTAAAATGATGACTGAATTCTTCATAGCATCTAATTCTATGCAACTGGAGCTTTTACGAAGCTCATTTGTTGTTTTAAAGAAATATTTATATCTTATAATAATTGTTTTTTTACTCCTTAAAACTTTGGCATATCACATTTCTTTTTTATAAGCATTTCTGCATGACTTCCAAAAAAACAACAACAACAACAACAAATTGCGACTCACAGGATAATGACACTTATGTGCTAGTGACGCATCAGTTTACATAACTTACAGTACACTTACTAAAAGTATATCTGTTGCCCCAAGGCCTCAGTTTTAAATCAGCTTTTGGTCCTGCCTTTGGAAGAGCAAATGTAAGTGCACTTTGGGAACAGAAAGGACACTTTCAACCCTGCATGAAGGGGCACAAAAAAACAAAAAACACAAAAACAACATTACAAAGTGCACGTGATGAGTGAGAGAGAGTTACTGAATTAAGTACTTACAGAGGTAAAGGAATCAAACGGAAAGCCCTCCTAGCTCCTCAGACTGCTACATACAGCATTTCTATATATGTAAAACCCCGAAGCTCAAAGCAAACTTAACATAATGCAGGCTGAATATTCTTCATAGCTGTATATACACAAATATCTTCCTTCAAGATGTTTGCAGGGGGAAAATAATTCCACCGAAAAATATTGTGCTCTGCTCATCTTGATTTGATCCCAAAGACTACGACTATGTATATACATCATCTAATAAAAAACTAGATATAGATATACAATATACAAGTACATTCTGCAGACTTGCTCATAGAATTGATTTATATTTTCCTCCCAACTCTCCCACGATGAGCACCCACTAGAAATGTCATCTAACTGGCAAACAGAAGATACCTATGGACGGTGAATCTGACATGTTCACTTAGGAACTGTAGTGATCCTGAAAAAAGGAAATAAAAAAAGCACCATGAGAAGTCGTCATTATTGATGAACTTGTATCATACGCTGGAATATATCTGACTGACCTGAATCGAGCTAACTACGCCGCTGGCCATGACTGAAAGTTTTCCTGCAACTGAGCGCACTCCATGTTTGAGCTGCGACATGTCGGGAGCGCTGGGGAGTACGTTGCTCAGACGGTACGAACTCGCTGTGGACACAAGGCAAAAAGTCAAGCAGACAGAGAGACAAAGGGGACTCGTGGAGAAGCCACACCCATGTGAAAAAGACAGTTTTCACGGGACTCTCTGCAGTCCTGTGTAAAACAAAAGTACAGTAGCCTGCTGAGCACATTTAGCAGCAATAACTTGAAGCAATCATTTCGTGTATGATCTTACAAGTCTCTCACATTGTTGTGGAACAATTCTGGCCTGCTCGTTAAAGCAATGCTGTGATGTGATCATCGTCCTGCTGCATGACCCAGTTTTGCTTAAGATTCATCTCTTGGACAGATGGCCTCTCATTCGACTCTACAATACTTTGGTATACAGAGGAGTTCATTGGGGGTCTCAGTGACTGCAAGCCCCCCCAAACAAACATCCCTACTTTGGGTTTTATCTGTATGAAGGACATTGTTCCAGAAGTCTCGTGGTTTGTTCAGATGCAACTTTGCAATCCTAAACTGGCAATCCTTCCAAACAAACTATACTTGTTCAGTCATGACCATTAACATTTAACATGCCAACA